ACTGTTACGACGGTTCAGTTCGTTCACTTAATATTTGTCTGTTGGGGCATCACCATTGTCAACTCACTTCTGGTTTCTCTGGTGAGTTCCAGTTGCGCAAAATCAGCATTATCAACTTAATATGTGCAAATAATGTACAGACGAAACTAGCCATTAACTGTAAATTATAAGCAGCCAAAAATGGCTAATATTTATGTAAATTCAATTATAAAAATCGTGTATTCAACATCTTTGTCTGTAAAAATGCGTCTTGTTCTGGTTTTCTAAAAATGCTATCAAATATTAAAAAATGTCTAAAAAATTTATTAAATAAGATCGTGGGATAAAAAGTGTTTTTGCAAACCGCAAGAGAAATGTTGTCTAAAAGTTAATTTATTAAAGCAGATACTCCACATTGATGACCAAATCGACATCCTTCAGGAATGGTTGACAAAAGCCTTCTCCAAAAACGAGTCGGAGACTTGGGATAAGATTACGCCGAAAATGTTGATCACGAAACACCAGCAGATTATCCCATTCTCGGAGGATATGATGATATTATTATCGGACACCCTGATCATGTGCTGCTTAGAATTCGTCATCGTACGTATCGTGGTCCAATGTGATCTTCGCTGTTGGATAGTTGCTATATAACTGGTAAAAAGCCGTTTGTCTTTAGCGTGTATTTATATTGAAGAAATACCACATTGCACTCGTATTGATTGATACTGTTTCTTATGAATGTTGCAGTTGTTCGATAAGCCCAACGCCGCGGCGATTTTGGTGAAGTGCATACTGTTTTACATCACGATTAACCTGGATGTATTCATATACTGCTACAACGGCGAGTACTTGAGCGCCAAGGTTAGCTTTTTCAGCGATTTTAATGATACACAAACCTGACCAATTTCTCTTTCAGAGCAGAACAATCGAAGACGCAGCCTATGGTTCTGAGTGGTATAATGTTTCGGCGAAGGACAGTCGAATCGTGATGTTCATCATTTTGAGATCGCAGAAACGGCTGACTGTTACGTGCGAGAAAATCATGGACCTCTTTTTGGAATGTTTCACTAGCGTAAAATCATAACTATATACCTAATACATAGATCGAGTCTTCTAACGAGAGATTGAAGACATGATTAAAGGCAACTATACTCTGTTCCGCTGTCCACAGGCTGTCTTGTTATCTTTTTATATATAGTTGCGCCTCCCGCGTCCGAATCTTGTTCCGCGCGTTAAATAAACGAAGACGTGTATATACAAAACTAAGAACGTTTAATTAAAACCGTCATTCTCCTTCTCTCGTATTTTACACTCTGTATGAGAAACGTTAGCTCGGCTCAGTAGCTCGTATGTAACTTTTCTTTGTCGAATCTTGATTGTCATAGTTCCAATCGTTCCAATCTGAGTTAATGTCATCGATATCGATTTTTATATCGACCCGGTGCAAAGACGTGGACAAAAATGTGTTATTCACTTCACCTAGTTTCCTTCAATAGGATCTAAGCTAGACAAAAATCGAATGCCTGTGATCGGAACGTCTTTTACTAATCAAGTACTTCACTACTTCTTGTGAAGCGCTCAGTCTATGTATGCACGTCTATACGTAAAATTCGTACTTGACTATTTCGCCATTTTGGTCGTATATTTTTTTATAAGCTATTAAGGGGGTCATTTGGTCTAAAGTGGTAAAAAATGCAGTTTTTTCTCGAGTAAAATAAAGATATTGGAGATAGAAATTTTCTATAAAGAATAATGTAACTTTTGACGCGTTCTTTCAACTTTAATATATTCGCTACAAGCGTCACATACGTGTAACGTACCTATCTCCTACTTCAAGATCAACTTTATTCAGGTCTTCAATTCTACTTAACATGTACGCTACTGACATCACATATGTTTGACAGTGATAATAATTATTTTTCTATATCTGCATAAGTAAATTGAACCTGTCTTATACAATTATATAGAAACGTAATAACGTAAATACAATGTAATGTGTAGGGGGAATTGCCTAAAGAAACCGTGATAGTGAACGTGTTCAAAACTGCAATTGATACCAAAAGTGGGAAAATTTGACGTTTTATCAGGAGATCAAAATATTGTCTAGTTATTTGACGAGTTATATTACATTGTAGGTTGTGAAAACATCGGCGTCGTACTTGTCGGTGCTTATGGCAATGTATTGAAAATGGATGACAATGCTATATGAAAATAGATGATGCATTGACGATACTGTAATACATTAGCACAACGTAATAATGTAAGCAATTTATTAGTGCAAGATGAGAATATATATAAAGTTTATCCTTCGACAAATCTTTAAGCCATTAAATTTACTAAGGTACGCTAATCATTACTCGTTTTGTCTCTTGCAAGAAAAGTACATCATGATAATCAGCTCAAAGCTGAAACGTAGAAACTGTACGAAGAAGACTACTATCTTGTTAGACATATTATTGCATCTTTGAATGATATTAGTACTACAACGTGATGACCAATCTAAATATTTTATACTCATAATTTTTTTTATAACTTTTATTTGTAAATTCATGATTAAAGAATCATCTGCGGTTTCTTGAAAGGAATTTTTGTAATTTTACTTTCTCTTAATACGTCGTTTCTGTGTTTTCAAGCCGCGAATTACCTTTTCACGGTTGCTGAGCGCAACTTTGCAACTGAGATATTTATCTTTTATCAGCCAACATGATGTGTATTGTTTCATAATTACATTCGATGCTCTCAATACGGTGATTTTATTTACAATTACGTTATTTCGTAAAAAAACTGTCTCAATTCAAAGATGCAGTGTGTCAACGTGCTCGTTTCGATCATGTAGAACAGCTGCTCGAATCAGTAATAAATTTCATTTTCGTCCTCCCTACATATTATGCAGCTAGACACACCGTCTTCTTTGCAATCGTGCTCCCTACTTTCTTGAAACTACTCGCGACGTGAAACTATAATCTTTTCGCGGTCATATCATCGAGACGAATTCACACAATATGTTCCTCTTGTTTTCCCTTTGCGATTCTCCCTCAACGGACAATGAAACTTTTCTACCTGGCGTCGCGGCTAGACACGCGGGCGAGCTCATGGCAGATGAACTTTCGAGTCACTGCTTGTTGCATTTTTAAAACGGCCATGCGATAGCATTCACGGTCACGGTCGGCAACACGACAGAGATGGGGAACGATATCCCTCGTATTTTTCAAATCTTGGACTGCGATTACCGAAGTTATTGTTGCACATGCAACTTCGTTCAACTTTGCATATCTAGCTATAGAAAAGCTTGGCGAATGGCTGATATTCGGCATCACGAAGTCGCCGTGTCTCCTTCCCCTCCGAATTTTCCGCGAAGGTGAATCGCGAGAGACTCAGCGTCATACAGGTAATCCGGTGTTACACGCGATAGACTCACGAAATCTCCACGTACTTTGTACGCCGGTAATATCGTTCGCGTGCAGAACGATACTTTTACTACCAGCCATTAGCAGTTTACGCGATTAGCAATTTTCCTATTCAGAGACACGACGGGATTTCTCTCTCTGTCTCTCTCTCTCTCTCTCTCTCTCTCTCTCTCTCTCTCTCTCTCTCTCTCTCTCTCTCGCGCGCGCGCGCGCTTCGAGTACGCGCATGCAAACAAGCCGGGGTACCGTTTACGGAAATATCGACTCACGATAATTTCTCCGACTTATAATACATGAGTACAAGACCGCAAATATAACAATAATAACAATTTTCTCGTGCAGTCGTGACAAGAGATGTCGCACGCGACGATTACGAAGATTGTAGTCACCCAAAACCCAAACAGCAAGCGAGGCGTCAGCATCGACTCTAGATTGCTAATGCTAGCAGTTCGTTATTGCCAATATGAAGTCATTTTGACTCGATCAATTGTTTTTTCGTCTGCAACTTACTTCAACGTTTGTAATTATTATTTTACAGAAGAAAAATGAAGTATTATCAATTACAAGCATTTTTTTTAAATTACAACAAATGATTATTTAAAGTACAAAAGTGACATAGAAGGCTCTGAGATTAAAAATCAATTACAGTAAAAAACAGAGGATCAATACAAAACGATTGGCCTTTTGTTTTCTACTGTGATTATTTAAAATGTTAATCAAAATGACTAACATATGCAATTTAGTGTTGAGGCTGTTATGATTGCTTCACTTTGATATAACAATGATTGATATAACAAAGCGATCAAACACGTCAATGAACTAAAAGAACCAGTCGTTCCCGAAAGTAAATAATAATATTATAAGACACTTGCCCCGATTACGAAGAAGAATCGCTCGTCGCGATTAACTTTTCCTGGCGACCCCTTATAGCCTGTCACTGTCATCGGCGAATCGTTCAATCCTCTTCACCAGTATCTTCTTCCCCGACTTACGATATTTTAAATTATAATCTCTTGTAGGTCTTCCTCTCTCACTGCGATAATGCATAGTAATTCTGAGACACGTCTTCGCTTCTTTTCATTCAAACACGCACCCTTCGGCAGCGAAACTTCTCACTCACGAGTTCGCGGTTGTACATGGTGGTCGAACGGGGGCGGCGATGAAGCCGGCAATTCGCAGAAGCCACGTTCCTCCTTGAGAAGTTTTACTTTACCCATTGCATTTTTAATATGGGTGTACAATGACACCGCAGGCGGAAGTTCGACGATGGGTAGGGAAGTGCGCGCTTACTTTTCAATCGGAAAGCTTTCGTCGAGCATGATGTGAAATTATAGTATAGTTGCGTGTAGTTGAAACTTTGTAGGCGGTGATATTTAATAATGGGCGGCGAATGTTCGATGCCCCACGCGTGTGTGTTCAGATGTCGACCTAGCAGAGAGATTTTAGTATGAGTGGAATCACTCGATCGTCTCGTATTCTCAAGCTTGACGCGCTTTCGAGAAAAAGGGGATGCGGACGAGCACGTTTAGTCGGATAGTGAAGGCCGGGCTTCACTTTTGCGGTATCTGGCCATATTTGCCGTCGACTGTGATATGGCGATTATACTGGATCATGGCGTTGGGCACGGCTCAAATCTTTCAGTACGGCTACGTGGTCGTGAACAGTGATTCGGACAACTTTTCCGAGTTTATGGACGGAGTGAGCAGCGCGATGGCGCATTCGCTGCTCTACATCAAGCTCATTATCTTGTGGATCAATCAACGGTAAGACGCGTTCCTGTTAATGATCTCGTTATCGGAACTTGTCGATACTACAGGCGGAATGTCAACAGTAGATCAACACGCGGGAAAAATAATTCCGTTAGTATAACTGTATTTTCCGTTGCCTAATGAGAATACGGAGCGGATAAAAGACTCAGTCGTAGGAATAGCAAAGTTCCCTGTAAGGGCTTTCTACTCAGTCAATTGTTCGCAGTTAAAGTAACCAAGTTTTAACGCAGCTAAATATTCAGATGTTGTCCGTCGTAACAGAAATAATATTTCACGTCATCAAATTTTCATCTAGTCCTTAATTAGTTAGTAGCACGAACTGAAATTTTCTTTTCATGTATTCGTAAAATAAGCTATAAAGTGTATCATGATGTTATTACTGTACAAACAGGAATCTTTCTATTCCACACAAAATTGTTTTCGTTTAGTTCATCAGACAACAAAAAATTCAATTACCTTCACGAAATTAATAGCAATAATTTGTGTTAAGTTTGCGATTTAGTTTGACATGATCAGACACGGTATTTGACAACTGGATGAACTCCGGCTTTGAATCCAATATTTCGCAGGAAGTTTGGCGATATACTGCAAATAATGACTGCGAACTGGCAGGATCACACATCAAACTACTATAGCTTGAGTATAATGACAAAAACAATGTTTGTCGCGCGACGTATGTCCAGGATAATTATCTTCGTGAATGTTTTCTCCGTGTTTTTCTACAGTCTCGGGGTTCTCACCTCTAACGCGGGTGATCCCGAGAAATGGGAGCCGTACAATCGGGAACTGATTCTGAAGATGAAATTTCCGTTCGAGATCAGCACGTTTACCATCTACTGGGCTATCACACTTGTTCAGTTCGTTCATTTAGTGTTTATCGGCTTCGGCATTGGCTTAGTCAATACACTTCTTGTCTCTCTGGTGAGTCCAAATTGCGCGAAGCCGACGTTGCCGATTTAACTTATCCGAGTAATATACAGGCCAAACTGCGTGTTAAATCTAAACTATTAGTAACCGAAAACGGATAATATTTACACTAATACAGCTAATATTATATATAAATTCAATTATAAAAATCACACATTTAACATCCCTGTCCATAAAAATACGTCTGGCTTATTCTGGTTTTATAAAAATGTTATTAAATATCCAAAAATATCTAAAAAGGTAAAAATGTCGAATAGAGGACCACCCTCCAATAGTCTTGATGTTGACATATATTATCAAGGACATCCTTTTGAGTAACAATCAAGAGGTTTTAACCGTCACTCATTGTTTATTAAAAAGTTATTAACAAAAAAGTTCAATAAATAATACGTAATTATTCAACACTGTGTATGTACAATAAGTTTAAATCGATATATGTATGTAAAATAGTACACGTAAATACGCAAGAGAGGGACTCCGCCCCTCTTCCTCTTTCTCTTTTAAAAAACTAACTCAAACCTAACCTGTTAAAATATGATAAACTGTACACGTATATATGTAACCCATTCTTTATATTTTCATACATAATTTATCAATGGAAAACAACATGAAAATATACGGTTTACCACATTTCAATAGATAGGTTAGATTAGGGTTAGTTTTTTTGGGAAGGAATGCAGAGAGAAGACCGGAGCCGGTTCCCCTTCTTTTGTTAATAACTTTATAACGAACAATAAGCGACGGCTAAAACCTTTTAATTATTACTCAGGAAGGTTAGTTCTATAATATATGTTAACATCAAGATTATTGGAAGGTGGTCCACACATACGCATTGCTCGCCAGCAAGCGCGCTCGCCCGCCCGACAGGTGAGCAGTATATGTGTGTGTATGTGTGTGTGTGTGTATGTAGCAAGCATCTTCCTAGCGTACAAATTCGATGTTTTTGTACACGGTGTCCAAAAATTACATTCATTTTATGCAACTTCTTTTGTTAATAACTTTTTAACGAACAACGACGACGGCTAAAAGCTTTTTATTGTGACTCAGGAGCGTCAGTTCCATAATATAAATGTCAATATCAAGACCGTTGGAAGGTGGTTCCCTATTCGGCATTTTTACCGTCACTTCATTAAGACAGATAATCCATGTCGGTGGTCAAATCGACATCCTTCAGGACTGGTTGTCGAAAGCCTTCTCCAGGAACGGGTCGAAAACTTCAGATGAAATTACGCCGCAAATGTTGGTCACGAAACACCAGCAGATTATCATATTCTCGGAAAATATCGAGAATCTGTATACATACATCGCACTCATGATACTGTTATCGGACACCTTGATCATTTGCTGCTTAGGGTTTGTTATCGCCACCGTGAGTATCGTATTCGAATGTGATTCTCGTTGTTTGACAAATATAGCTACCATATAACTAGTAAAGAGCCATTAGTCTTTAGCGTGTATTCATATTGAAGAAATACCACATTGCACTCATATTGAACAATACTAAACCGCTCCTATGAATGTTGCAGTCGCTCAATGAACCTAACGCCGCGGCGATTTTGGTGAAATCTATAATGTTCTACATCACGATGAACCTGGACGTATTCATATACTGCTTCGCCGGCGAATACCTGAGCGCCAAGGTTAGCGTTTTTCAGCGATTTTATTGATACACAAACTTGTCCAATTTTTCTTTCAGGGTAGAATAATTGGCGACGCAGCCTATAATTCTCTGTGGTATGATGTTTCGGTGAAGAACAGTCGGATCGTAACGTTCATCATCTTGAGGTCGCAGAAACGGCTGACGATCACGTGCGGGAGGATCATGGACCTCTCTTTGGAACGTTTCACTAGTGTAAGACTATAAGATCTATAACCTGTGTCCGATGTGAGCGGCGGGCTGGTCACAGTCTTCCGGCATGTTTTTGTCAACCTTCCGACCGGGTACCGAGCAACGCTTGCTACAAAATTTTGACCGCCAAGTATGCGCTCTCAGTTGTACCACCAATTAAAACTGCATTACTTTTATCACCCGGTCGGAGATCGACGGACGACAGCCGGCTGCTCAATTTAATAGAAGTGGTAGTGTGGCTGGGTTCTGATTCGTTTCGCGGCTACTCGGGACGAAGCCAAGCGAGGCAATCGAAAAGAGTGACTGAAGACGCTCAGTAAAATATAAAGAGTATTTGAATATATTAAGCATTGTGCTAATTACATTTGAATATACGCGGCTGTTGACGACTAAACAAAATATTGCAATTACTTGTCATACAAATTTGTCGTGCTTGTTGTTATCAGTGAACAAACGTAGAACAGAAACACAAATGGACAAATATATACGGTTGACTGCAAGCTCAAGAAAAAGGACACACGGTTCATCTTGACATCTAAGGCTGTTCTTTTGAAAGCAAGGAACACATCTTGTTTACGCCCTCCACCCACTTAATGCACTCTAAGACGAGAACCCGCAGACAAGGACGCAAGGCAGTTACTTACGACAGTTATACTCTAAATGGTCATCCCTATTTGTGTCTGTCTCTCCAGGTGTCTGGCTCTCTCGCTCTCGCTCTTTGTCTCTGTCACACCCGCTCTGCTTCGCCAAATGTACCTTAGCCATCTCACACTTTGTATCCCGTTGTCGATACTCAAATATTATTCTTCCTCTCGGTCCGAGAAGACGCGAAATCCACAATCAGAACCCATCGGCCAGATCATACAATTTCAATGGCGGACAGTGAAATCTGTCACGTCACAAATCGTAGACTTAGAACATAGACTGCGTCTCCTAATGAAAGATTGAAGACAAAATTAAAGCATATTTGTATTCTCCTTCCACTGCTCGCAGACTGTCTTGTTATCTTGTTATATGTGTTATCTTCATCTAATTTTCTCTAATAAGTCTCAAACTAGACAAAAATCGAATGCTTGTAACAGGATAGAATTCTTTTCTAATCAAGTTTTCGCTGCTTGTGGAGCGCTCAGTCCATGTATATAAGTTTATATACGTAAGACTCATTTCGCACTTGATCATTTCGCCGTGTCAACCGTGTATTGTTACAAGCGTCCGTTAATATGTTCGTTACCAGCGACATATACATGTGACATACCGATATAATTTACTTATAATTCACTTACTATAATTTACCTATAATTCACTTTAATTCAATCTTTTCTCAACATTTTTGACTCTACTTAACGCACGTTCGCTACCGACATCACATATGTGTGACAACACGATGATTTTTTTTTCATATACCTACATAAATAATCTGAATCAGTTTTACACAAATACATAGAAACAAATACAATATCGAGGGAATTGCCCAAACAAACCGTGGTAGCGAACGTGTTGAAGACTGCAATTAATACCGGAAGCGGGAACATGAGTCATTTTATCATGAAGCTAAAGTATTGTTTGGTTATTTGACGAGCTATATAACATTGTAGGTTGTGAAGGCATCGGCGTCGTATATGTCGGTGCTTTTGGCGATGTACTGAAGGTAGGTGATGTATTGAAAATTCTGTAATATTTTCGTACAAAGTAATATCATGAGCAATAGGATTCATTAGCGCGAGATGTAAATATATAGAAAGCTTGTTCTCTAAATGAGTCTTTACTTTCATTAATTTTTTGCAAACAAGGTACACTAAACATTACTCGTTCGTTTCTTTCTCTTGCAAAGGTGCGTCATAATTGTCAGCTTTGTGCTGAAACATGGAAAGAGCGCGAAAAAAGTTGTTATCTCGTTACATATTTATTATTGCGATTTACGATGATTTACTGGCAATACAACGCGAGGATCAATCTAAATCTTTTACACTCACGATTTTTTCCACGGCTTTTTGATTTGTACGTCCACAGTGGTAGGATCTTCTCCAGTTTCCCAGGGGAAACTTTTACAATTTCGCTTTCTCTTAGTACTTCGTCTTCGTATCTTCGAGTCGTGAATTACTTTTCCATGCTTGCTAAGCGTAACGTTCCGCCAGACGCGCATTCGCGTTTCACCCGTCACGACGCGACCTTTGAATTATACCGCAATTGGCTGCGGCTGCTTGTCACTGCATAATTATAAGTTCACTCATTTACTCACGAGAAAAAGAAATGTTTAGTCTTAAAGATGCCATACGGAAACAAAATCTCAAGATGTCTATTCGAGACCGTACGAACTTCCTCTTTCTCTGCCACGTGTATTGTCGTAGTCATACGTCGTAGTCATTGTCGTACTCATCGCTTTTTTGCGTCCAGTGCAAACTATAATCTTAGTTTATACCGATAGAACAAACTCGTGCGATACGTTGCACTCTCACCCTCGCGACGCTCCCCTAGAAGCGCGAAACTTTGCAACCTCGCGCCAAGCGAGGTGGCTCGTGGAAGCTGCACTCCAAGTTTGCCGCTTGTTGCATTTTTAAAGCGGCCATGTGGCCACGTTGTCCACGGTCACCACGAACGGAGAAAGTAGAAGCCACCCTCCGGACCTCGTGGCTGCGATTGTCGCTGGGACCACCGCATGTGGTTTCAAGTTTGACAAACTTCGTATACGTGGCGGTAGGAATACTTAACGACTGCTTGCGCGATTGGTCGGTGTTTGGTGACATACGGAGTCGACTCCTCCTCTGCGGATTGTGCAGTGTGCAGAGGGTGATCTGATCGCGCGAAAGTAAAGACAACGACCCTCCTGCCGCGTTTCCAGCCGGGAACATGAAGATGAGCACGGTCAGTCGCGTGGTGGAGATCGGTCTACGCACTTGCGGTATCTGGCCGTATCTACCTTCGACCGTTCTCTGCCGGCTGTTTTGGATCGTCATGTTGGGGATGGCTCAGATTTTACAGTATCAGTACCTGGTGATACACTATCACTCCGGCAATTTCTCCGATTTTATGGACGGAGTAAGCAGCGCAATGGCGTACACCCTCTTGTTCATCAAACTCGCGATTTTGTGGGCCAATCAACGGTAAGATGTGCAACGTGTAAATTATAATTTCTGTTTCGTCAATGTGCAATACAGACTTTCAGAATTTTCCATCTTTACCTTCACGACAGATGCTGTGATAAATTTTAGTCGAGTCGATAAAGATTTTGAATAATATGTGTTAAGATATCTTGTGTGTGGGAAAATTTTACCAAATTTATATCAAGTTATATTATATTATATTTACATCAAGTTATATTATATTGTCTTTGTTGCGGAAGGAATTTCTTTGATATATAAAATAACAAAATTAAACATTAATATAAAATGAAAAATTACATTCAAAAACAAATTGAAACAAAGATAAAAATAAAATATGTACATACAATGAAATAAATGAACTGTTTAATTAAATGAAACGCAAATGAGCAAGCAAGTTAAGGATTATCGAGGATGCTTAATGATCACACGTAAAAAGGAAGTCATTGATTTTTCATACCCACTCTTTTAAAGTGAATCAGTAAAAATCTTTCCAATTAAATCAGTAAAAAGAGTATTTCACCGATAATCAGTGAATGTTTATTTTCAGTGGAAACACCGCCACTTTATTGCTTTATCTTATATATGATTTTGATCAGTGGAAGCAAGATCTCGCTGCAAAATCTGTAATGCGCAAGTTTATTACAAGCTTCCTGCATTTATAGCGATGAAATTAAAAGCTCCCATGCGATTTACATGCAATGCACTGTCTGTATTTGCAAACTGCACCAATAATAGGAACAGTCACTACTATTAACCGATTCTTTCAGCGAGATTTTACTGCAGTGCTATACTTATGACTGAACAGTTACAAGTACAGCATTTCAGTAAAGAGTACACTGAATGTACTTTAGAAAGCATAAATGTGTGAAGCAATATATCTGTAGATAATATTACCACTTCGTCATTCACATCTAACTTGTCATAAATACTCACTTGAGAAAGAGAAATGTAAATATCATAGTTAAAAAAAGATTGGCTGAACCCGATCACCCGTAGAACGTTTTCCGATATACTACAAATGATGGCCGCGGACTGGAAGAATTGCGGCTTGACTGACCACAGTTTACGCATCACGACAAACAAGGCAAAACTGTCGCACCGCTTCTCGCATTGGATAATAGGCCTTCAATTGATCGCCATACTACTCTATACCTGCGGTGTTCTTGCCGTCAATGCCGGCGAAGTACAACGGATGAACGTGTCCATGCGAGAGCACATCTTGAAGATGAACTTGCCGTTCAAAGTCAACACGTCTCCCGTGTACGTGCTGATCACGATACTCGAGTTCTTTCACCTGGCCATGTGCGGCTGCGGGATTTCTTTGGTGAATTCGCTCATTGTCACTCTGGTGAGTAGTTCATCGTGTCCTGATTAATACAAAATGACACAGAAAAGTACAGAGCTTTATGATTATTCCAACGCGAAAGTTAGATACTTCACATCAGCGGTCAGATCGATATTCTGTGCGACTGGCTGCTGAGAGCCTTTGCCAAAAATGTGACAGATACCGTGAACGAAGTCACAGTGAGAGCGTTGATCACAAAGCATCAACAGATTATCGTGTTTTCGGAAAATATCGAAAATCTCTATACATATATCGCGCTAATGCTATTCATATCGGATACTCTTATTATATGCTGTTTAGGCTTCATCATCGTCACAGTGAGTAATGACAGCATAAATCACATGACCATTATTTGAGGAATTGGAATTTTGTATATACACAGAAAAAAGGCATTCTTTTGTTTGAAAAATATATTTATTTTTGACGTGTTAATCCTTAAATGAAATTATATGGCGTTAAACAAAAATGAATTACTTGCATTAATACATACTTACGACATGTCAAAAATAAATATATTTTCCAAACAAAAACGTCTTTCTTTTTTGTGTAATTGTTTGTAATGTGGCGATAACTGCTAAACTGCGTTTACTTGCCGCGTATATCGAAACGCTATATGGAAATAGATGATATGCATATATAACCAGAAATATTTAGTTGCGAGCAGCATAGTTGCATTACTTTACTTATCTTTGTGCGATGGTAGTGTGTATGGTTGATATAACTTACTTTGGTACATCAGTGTAGTTGCACGTGATCTGATTGTGGCAATCAGAAATCGGTTGGAGTGACATTTACTATAGATGTACTCTGTTTGGAGCAACCAGATATCGTCATAGCTGGCAACGTCAGTAGTTCAGCAATTGCTCTGCAGCAACTACATAATTAGTTGTTTCTTACTTCACTATTGCGTCTGATTGACACAATCAGACTTATGCGTTACTGACCAGCGTTATTTACCGTTTTCTCCGTGTGCAAATTATTCTGAATTATTTCAATATTGCAGTCCATTGGCACACCGGACGGCCCGGCAATCTTGGTGAGATCCGTATTATTCTATATGGTGATGAATCTCGAGGCGTTCATATATTGCTTCGCCGGTGAATACCTGACTGCCAAGGTTTGCATCACGCGAATTTTATGAAGAAGGGTCAACGGCTTTTTTATGATGTAAAAAAATTCCAGATCCGTTTGTCACTTTCCTTCTAGAGCAAAACGATCGGCGATGCGGCTTATGATTCCCTTTGGTACAACCTCACATCAAAAAAGAGTCGAATTTTACTGCTCGTGATTCTACGGTCACAGAAACGTTTGACCATCACGATTGGAAAAATCATGGATCTTTCTTTGGAGCGTTTCACCAGCGTAAGATTTAACTTTCCGTTCTCTCTTTGTACGTTCTCCAGTTCGGCAACATAAAATTTATGCGGACTTTAAGTCAACATGCAGACATTTTCTGAATGAAATTATCAATTTTCATCCAGATATACGTTCCGAATTAAATTATTACCTTTCTATGGAATTGTTTATGTGATGTATATTGCTAATTGAAATCCATCCAGACACGTCATCAGTGATTAACATTGTAGGTCGTGAAGGCATCTGCATCGTATGTTTCCGTGTTATTGGCGATGAACTAAAGACCCGAGTTTCGATCGTTAATAGTATCTTCACACTTTCATTGCTCATAATGGTAACATTATTTAGTAGCTGTAACAACATTGTGAACACGCCGGTAGAATAGCGTTTTAATAATTATTATTACATTACTGTAAATTTGCTGTTTATTTTTTTATTATTATTATTGCTTATTTTTTGCCAGACTGAAACCTACACGAAGAAAATTTCATAGCAAAAATTACTATAGGATTTTGCAAACAAGGAATAGATCGGAATTTTATGACAATTCACTATCTTTTCATTTCATATATACTTATATTTTGAGACTAAAATATGCTATTAAGATATTTACTATGTTTCTAACAAAATCTGCTATATGTTTTTAGCGAAATTTACTATTAAGTTTTTATGTAATTTCTGTCGTATTTCGTTCGCTCATCTTCGACGCGCAATAGATTATTATTAGATTTGTTCTTGAACTGAGCCGTGCTAATTTGATTGCATACTACTTTCATAATTGTAGATAATAGTGGCCAATATGTGTTGTTAATTAAATAAATTCTTTTTTAAAATAACATCAATTTTAATTTTATTCAAAAATACAACAGAAATGTATGCAACCTAGTATATTTTTTAACAAAATAGACCTTAGTGACAGTTTATTCCTGTAAATTACTAAAAGCATAGTAAAATTGAAAAGAATTTGCATGAAAAAAAAACTATAATATTCTATTGAGTGCGAGAGTTTTCTCTCGTGAAAAAAGGCACATTGTGTCGGCTAATAAAATCACCGAAAATAAAGAAAACGGTTACGTAACGAAAGTTCATAATGTTTAAGCCGATATTACATGGGAAATTAATTTTTCCTAGGTAACTGAGTTCTTTTACAGCTTAACCCTCCTAGAGCTTAATGTTGAAACTTACCCTCCGCTAGAAGAGAAAAAAGACAGATAAACAGAGAGAGAGAGAGAGAGAGAGAGAGAGAGAGAGAGAGAATGAAAGAGCGTGTGGTGCTTGAGAATAAAACTTTTCTCACTACTTTCTTTCTTCGTCTTCGAATGCTGACTTACTTTTTCACGATCATTGCGCGCAACCTTGTATCCAACGTACACCTGTGTATTTCATCCAGGAAATTACGCGATTTACATTTTTTCAAGGAATAAGTTGCGAACTTGGCGGGACATACAGTAATATAGGAAGAATTCTCTACGGCGAGTAAAACGGTGAGAATCTCGGAAACAGAAACTTTTGCTTCTACTTTCTCCTCACCCCATCGACCTTCCGGCCATTCATCGAAGTCCTCCCTCATTCGCGGAACCACAAAACTTTTCCTTACGGTCACCGGACGCGCTATTCAATGCTCGCCGTAACGTTCGCGTGTACTATCCGTTGTTGCTTGAATTTTTAAAGAGAATAATACTGCGCTACACGCCGCGCCGGTTTGCCCAACAATTCGAGGGAGGGTCGACCACTCGGAAACTTTCCTTCTCCCTCCGACATACCGCGACAATGGCGCACGCAATCTGCGCATGATGCGATCAAAATATTTAATAAGCAGTTGCTAGAGCGCCTATGGTTTGCATATACACATACACGCGTACACACACACTCTCTCTTCTCTCGCTTTTAGTTCATACAAAGGTGTACCTCGCATAAAGCGCGATCGGCCAAACATATATCATAACGCTCGAAATTGCCGTCCAGTCAAAATTAACGCGAATTGCGTTAATATCGAAATCGAAATTGCCTCTGTTGAAAAAAAAAAGTAAATGGAAACAGAACGATACAGAGAAAAAGTGAATAATAGAAATATGAAACTAGAGAATCTAATCTGTTGGTCTATACAAATTTGGCTTCGAATTTTCGGGATCTGGCCGGAATCGTCGTGCATCATGTCGCGCAGATTATTTTGGATCATCGCGCTCATGATCGAGCAAATCTTACAGTATCGATACATCATGATAAGTTTCTATAACGTCGACATTACCGAGGTGATAAATACTTTGAGTGAAACAGTGCCGTACTCAATATTATTAGTTAAACTTGGAACTTTTTGGTGTAAACAGCGGTGAGATACGCAACAATACGTAGTGATACATAGTGCCACAGTGAAACTTTCACATAGTTCTTAACTAAAGTCTCCGCGCGGTGACGATAATTTTTCACATACTATTTCATCACTCTTTCTTGACACATGTTTGATACTTACTTTGTCACGAAGGGAAAGTTGCGTCGGTAAAATAAATTACTTGCCAACTAGAAGCGCGATAAATGCGACAGACTGAGCGATCAATCGAAATATCGAAGTAACATTTGTGCCTGAAGTATATGTATAAAAGTAAACACGCGCCGGAGTTATCACGCAACGATAAATCGTTTCGTCGTCAGTGATTTACGTGGCGATCTTTTCGAGCCATTGTTACTACGAACGTGACCCACGAAAATTATTTGTAGAACATTCAACAAAATATTAACAATGATGGCGGTGGATTGGGAAAAGTGTTCCAGCACGGAGCACAGTATGTTTACGATGGCGTGTAAAGCGAAGCTATCGCAGCGGCTCGCTAACTTGACAATAACGCTTTACTCGGCAGCTGTAATCTTGCATAGTAGCGATGTTCTGGTATACCGCTTGGACGTCAGCAGAACTTCCAATGTCACCGCGCGACCGTTCATTCTCAAGATGAACGTGCCGTTCGACAGTAATAAAAGATTTGTATACGAGTCAGTCGTGATCACACAATTCGTCCATTTGTACTTGTGTTCCTGCACAATTGGCGTAATCAATATCCTGCTGATAAATTTGGTGAGTACTGTTTTGCCAAAGATACACGGAGATTACTGTATTAAAAATTGTACGGAGAATATTGTACACTGAGAAAAAAAATAAATTTGTAAATTTTAAAATTTACAAACATCTATTAGGTGAGTACTATTGACATATCTAAACTCTCTTTACTTAAACCAAGTATTATCTACTTAAACCGAATAAACAATACTTGGCTCAAATAAAGAGAACCCTGATCCAAGCAAATATGTTAATGGCATCCATTCAACAAACACTTACCACAATACTTAAATATTTTTGGTAATTATCGACTATAGGGGAAGCAGCTCCAATCACCTTAATCTTGACATATGTTGTAGAAGTCACCCTTCTGAGTAACCCTCAGAAGGTTTTAGGCGGCGCTTGTCGTTCGTTAAAAAGTTATTAACAAAAGAAATTACATAAAATGAATATAATTTTTGGACACTGTATATACAAAAACATGGAATTTGTAGGCTAGGAAGATGCCAGCCATACGCACGTACCACACACACACACACACTGCTAGCCAGCAAGCGCGCTCGCGGTAGATGCGTATGTATATACAGGGTGTCCCGCGTAAGACGGACCAAAAGAAAAATATAAGTAGAACACATAAAAGTGAACAAAAATTGTATAGGTCATTTTTCAAACAACCACGTAAAATTTCGAGATATTAATTAAAATAGTTGGACAAATTAGAATGCGCGATGCGACAGGCAGGACATACGGCTCGCAGCGGTCGGCGAAGAAAATGGAAGAACGCACACGTACACAGACGCACACACGGAGCTACTCATTTCAGTATGCCAAACGGCCCACCTCTCTGGCCTATAAGGTAGGCTCGCGAGCAATCATCCATTTTCTTCGCCGGCCGCGGCGAGTTGTATGTCCCGCCTGCCATGTCGCCGCTCTGATATGCTCAACTATTTTAATTAATATCTCGAAATTTTACGTGGTTGTTTGAAAAATGGCCTATATAATATTTGTTCACTTATATTTATAATGTGTTCTACTTATATTTTTATAATGTGTTCTACTTATATTTTTCTTTTGGTCCGTCTTACGCGGGACACCCTGTATAATAGGTACATACATATGCACCCACCGCGAGCCCGCTCTGTCGGGCGGGTGAGCGCGCTTGCTGGCGAGCAGTGTGTGTGTGTATGTCCCTAACCTAACCCTAACCTAACCTATCTATTGAAATATAGTAAAATACACGTATATACGTAAACCTAATCTTTACATTTTTATATACATAATTTGTCAACGGAATACGGAGAGGAGCCCCTCCCCCGCGCATATATGTGTACTATTTACCGTATTGCAATGTATAATTTATTTTTGAAAAAAGGTAGCAAGAGGGACGATCAAAAAATGTCCAAAAATTACGTTTGATTTATTCAAACTTCTTTGTTCATAACTTTGAGAGTTACTCAGGAGGATAACCTCTACATATGTCAAGGTCAAAGTCATTGGAGCTGCCTCCCCTATAGTCGATAATTACCTTATAATAAAATATAGTAAAAATGATTATAAACATGATAATTTTTACTGAATTTATTTTTACTGTATTCACTTTTACTATGTCATTGTAATTTTCATCATAGTGCCAGTCTATTCCCGAAGTAATATAACAATTATTGTAATTTTTATGAATTTAGTTTTAATAGTTTATAGTTTATCTTCGAAGTACTAAAATTATATTACAATTTTTATAATTTTTATAAATATCTTATTAATACATAGGCTGCGTTCGGGGAGACGCTATTTAGCGCTATGTGTATGCTCTATCTTTGTTTATTTTTGAAAATTGTTTCTGAAAATTGAACAAAGACAGAGGACGTTCATAGCGTTAAATAGCGTCTCCCCGAAAGCAGCCATTGCATACCGTCTGTAGTAGTCGTCAATGACCGACTTTACGTATATATGTATTGTCTTTTGGAGACTTTACGGGATATCACATCATCAGTTTGATTTAAGCATTAAGATGTTCCTCAAGTATTCTCAATTAACAACTAACAATCGGTTAAAACGAAACGATATTTTTTAGATACTACATGTAGCTGGTCAAATTGATATTCTTTGCGAGTGGTTGGTGAAAATTTATCCGATGAAAGGAAAACGTCATCTGGATCTCGCCGTGATAAGGAAAGTAGTTAAGATGCATCAGAAGATTATCACTTTCTCAAAGCACATCGAAGAACTGTATTCAGACATCGTGATTGCGCTGTTCGTATCGGACACTCTAGTTATCTGCTGCTTAGGATTTGTGATCGCCGTGGTAAGTAGATCCCGGGATAATTACAGGTCGCGATAAAGAAAAATGCATCACGTCACTGAAAAATCTACGGGGCACACAACGTTCATCGCTATTCATTATCGATCTTTTCTTAACATTCCAGTCAATCGGGACACCTGGTGCTTCGGAAACTATAATAAAGACCCTTTTATTTTATATCGTTATAAATCTGGAGGCATTTACATACTGCTTCGCGGGAGAGTATCTAAGCGCCAAGGTGAAATGATTCGCATACCGTCTGCTCGGAGGAATATCGTAAGATACATTAAAGTTACATTTTCTATCCTGCGTTTACATGTAGAGCAAAACCATTGGCGACGCCGTGTACGATTCCCTTTGGTACGAATCGGATTCTAAAGACTGTCGGGTGATATTGCTGCTGATAATGAGATCGCAGAATCAATTGGCCATCACGATTGGGAAGGTCATGGACTTGTCTTTGGAGCGATTTGCCAGTGTAAGATCACTCACCTTACGTACAGACACTTCTAATGCGCTGATTGTCTCGATAACTGTTCAATTAAGATGTTGTCATCAAATATTATTTGCATATATTATCTATTGCTGTCAGTATCTGAATATCTTGACAATTCAAATATACTACCTCACAAATATTTCTTATGATCACTCGCGATTTTGGATTTCTACACGGGAAAAAAGATTTGGTTGAATTAACCAAATATCTGGTCGAATATGAACGATCCAGAAATTCCGATTGAAGTAAACCGAATTCTATTTAACAAGATTTTTGGCAGACTAACCAAACATGTCTGGTTATTTAACCAAATATGTCTGGTTAAATAATCAGACATGTTTGGTTAGTCTGCCAAAAATCTTGTTAACTTAAACAGAATTCGGGTTACTTCAATCGGGATTTCTGGATCGTTCATATTCAACCAGATATTTGGTTAATTCAACCAAATCTTTTTTTTCCGTGTAGTACTAAGCATTTAAGCATCATAGATTTAAGCATTCATTTAAGCAGATAGAATATTTAAGTACTAGAATATAAAAACTATTCAGTTTATACAGACAGCATTGATCTTATTGTCAATTAATTAATTTTCGCGTCACGTTTACACGTTACTTGACTCTCTGTGTTCTACATATACTTTTTGTTTTAACGTATGGAGAGCACAGATTGTAGTTTCACTTACTTTTCATCCACTAGTAAGATTGTAGTTTCACTTATTCCTCACAACTAGAGTTATCCTGCTACTTGTTCTTCTTCGTAAAAGCAGCAATCAGTAATGACGTTGCACAAGTAACATTAACTCGACCGCACAGATCAGCATTCTTCGAGTATCCCTCGTAATAAAGGCAGAACATTGTTATAGATTGTAAAGGCTTCAGCTTCTTACGTGTCGGTTCTGCTCGCGATGTACTGAAGCGGGACTAGCAAGCCATGCGTACGTCGAATTTCTACGTAATAAACTCCAAGAGTTACCTACTACTGTTTAACGTGAAGAAGAAAATTTGCACATAAATTAGTAGTAGCGGCGAAAATTGCTGAGGTATTACTATCAGTCATTCCCGACATGCGTCGCGACATGCCTCGTCGCCGAGAGAACGAGAGAGAATAAACTCCGGGACTCTCGGCGGGCAAAATCGATAACTCGAGATACGCAATGTTTATTAAATGAGTCTGAACAAAGCGACCTCGCGGTCTCCCCTTCTCGCTGGCATTGTTCCCACCCCAGGTCCGATTCGATTTTCCGTTTCTTTTTCTGCGAGTTTTCCATTCCGAAATTATAAGCTCTATGCTCGCGCACAATAGCCTGCATTTTTAATCACGCGTAATTCGCCACCGTTGCCATCACGGCCGGGGAAGGAATATAGTGAGGGATACTTACCTTTTGTTTACCTGCAAATTGTTCTTCCTCTTTCTCTCCCTCTCTTCTCCTCACAGTCGTATGTCTATAGTCGCGGCTGTATTTTACCCTCAGTGCCGCTATATTTTACGCTCAGAATAATTAATGATCAATCAAACGCGGTCAGTCGCCCCGCGAGAAGCTCTGCTGCAACCAACTCTCCGATTTCCAGCGAGATTTGTCTCGCGACGCACGTTGCGAGCATACACCGCGTCCGTGTCGATGTTTCATAAATCGGCGACGGAGAGATTCGTTTCCTATTACCGCGATCATGACGAACACCAACACGGTGTGCTTCTCGATAAAGTTCGTTCTCCGCATCTTCGGCATCTGGCCAGACGCGTCGTGCGTCGTCCTGCGCAGGTTGTTCTGGTCCGCGTTGCTGATCGTCACGCAGGTCTTTCAGTACACCTACTTTGTACTGCACTTTCACACTGACGACCTGTCGGATCTCATGGACAACCTCAGCTGTTCCTTGGCCTACACCTTGCTGTTCATCAAACTGATCATCTTCTGGATCAATCAACGGTAAGCTAGTGAATTATTCCATTCTCCTCTCGCTTTCCTGAAGAAAGTGCAGTGAGATCATTCGAGACTCGTCCCGCTGTGTGTACGCGCCGCAGGAAGTTCGACGAGATCCTGACGATGATCGCCACCGACTGGAAGGAATGCGCGAACGATCCGGTCGGCATGCACATAACGACTAGCACAGCCACGATGTCGTATCGCGTCGCCAATGCGATCATCGGCTTCCACATGGTCGCTGTGGTGACTTATAGCTTCGGCGTGCTCTTGTCCGACGAGAACGGGGACTTTAATGTGTCGGTCGTGCCCGCACGAGCCCTCATTATAAAGATGGAACTGCCCTTTGACAGCAACAGCTCGCCCATCTATGAGCTCGTGATGGTCGTGCAATTCTTTCAGCTGATGTCGAACGCGTGCGCGATCGACGTGCTGAATGCTTTACTCTTGACGTTGGTGAGTCATTTCTGGTATGGCAGGTAACGTTCATGAATTTAGAAGATGAATACTAGAGAGAAAACTGTTGAGCTCTCGATATCTAGACGCGTGGGTGAAAAATTTCTTGAATCTTCGGGACAAATACTTCGCGGCTTGAAGATCGGATTTTAACCTCTTGAGTGAGAATAATCTCCTGTTTGTGCTTTCGCGAGCCAAGTGTGCACGTTCTTGATCACAAACTTAACTTTATCTTCTTATTTCGTAATCCTGAGATCCTTAAAATAATTCCGCGAGATTGTGTAAAGTGGGTGTAAATCGAATTGCAATGTATAAAAAGAAAACGTACAGTAGTTTAGTTTTCAGCATTCTTTTCTGCTAGAATTTTATAAAATATTAAAGTATAGAGGGATTAAAAGATAAGTCTAAAGAGCGTCGTGTCGAGTCTCTCTTAGAGAATAATTTTTTGTTCGTAATTTATAGATACTTCACGTGGGTGGTCAGATTGATATCTTGCGAGAATGGTTAACGAAAGTTTTCTCCAAAGGCAGCATGTATGAAACGACTAAAGTTACGATGAAGAGCGTCATTGGGAAACATCAAAAGATCATCATGTTCTCGGAAAATGTCGAGAGTCTCTATTCTTACATCGCGCTGATGCAATTTGTGTCGAACACCATGATTATTTGTTCCATAGGCTTCGTCATCGCTTCTGTGAGTAACATTGAGAGAAATTCGCGGGGAACGAATTATCTGGCTTCAATTAAATTTAATTTAATTAGCTTCAATTCATCACCAAATATCTCGACTTATATTTTGATAACTTGATATACGCTCCTCGCAAAGACTATATTTTAGAATATAATTTTTGACAGTAGCTTTTCTAACGAAAGGATTTAGAGAGCGTCACGCGCGTATTAAGGAATAAATGGCGTCGTGATGTAAATGATGTTTCAGTCGTTGAGCAGTCCAGACGTTTCCACGATATTGGTGAAGACCCTGTTGTTTTACATCGTGATGAATCTCGAGGCGTTCATCTTCTGCTTCGCCGGGGAATACCTGAGCACTAAGGTCAGCGTATGATGTTAACACGGCAACTCGCCACGTCAGGCATCACCGTCATGTTAATCGATTTAATCGCGACCCGCCACTCGAGAGACCCCTTCTGACCGATCGGGCACTGGCTGCCTTACCCGAGCTTGTCGTCCCGGGATTTACACGATGAACGTAAACATCACGTTCCTACAGAAGACAGTAATTTCCCTTCTTGTTTACCTTGCTTTTTCAGAGTCTGAATATCGGGGACGCGGCTTACGGGTCCCTTTGGTATGACATGCGCGTAAACGAGAGCCGAGTGATAACGTTCTTGATACTGAGGTCCCAGAGGCGATTAACGATCACGATTGGAAAGGTCATGGATCTCTCGCTGAGACGTTTCGCTAGCGTAAGCCTTCGTGTTGCATCGTCGTCTGACATTCATCTGATGAATGTCCCGTATCGTCATTCTATCAATCATCTATCCGCATATTAAAGCTCCACCAAATCTCTCATTCACTCACGCGTAATCCTTAATCCCTTCCGTGCATGAAATATTGTCATTATAGATCGTAAAGGCGTCGGCGTCCTACGTGTCGGTGCTGCTGGCAATGTCCTGAAAGAAAGAGAGAAAGATCGATCACGATTAATTGCAAGAAACCAAGCGTTGCGAACATCTAGCAGCAAACGATTAGTCGCGAGAAACCATGAATGATCTTCAGAAGCCAATCGCACTTAGATTAAAAGTTTCATGTAAACAAAATCTGTTCTAATTACAAGACGATATTCCAAACGTTAATTTTAGATGTTAATTAACAGTTCGACTGCCTTTTGTCGTAAGGATAAAATATATGATGTTGTATAAATATATGATGTTGTGTACGTGTTCTACTGCAGTTTTCACGAATGTCTACACGGTAAAAAACATTTGTGTTGAAATCGATTCGTGTAAAAACTTTTATGTTAAATTTCTGACATATCCGTATGTTGATTTAACCTTTCAGTTCACATTCACCATTTCCAAGTGTTAAAATAACAATGGAGCGTTCAAGTGTTACTTTTGTGTTAATTTTTTCGACATATTATTTGTGTATTATTCGTTTGCATATTTGCCTTGTGTTAAATTGATATAAAAATAGAGTGAATAAATTTAATACCAAATTTTTTACAGTGTATAAAATTCCCTGTACTGTGACGCATCCGAAATTGGATTGACAATTTCTTGACGAAAGAACGGCTTTGCCAAATAAGTATCTCCTTTGCAACTATCCACTTCGATGAAACGACTCATTTTCCGTATCGAGATATATTCGTCGTGCCACGTGTACTCCGCGGTGAAACAATAATTTGTGCCGCAATATGTACTCCGCTCGTCGCTCGCAGAGAGTAAAGGTCTTTCCTCTAGAGTGATGTCTTCTTCAGCAATTACGGAGAGAAGAAGAGAGAAAAGCAAAGAGACAAAAAGGGAGAAGGAGATTCTCTCTCATATGTTTTCATTTTCGCCCGACATATATCTTCTTCCCCTTAGTCTTTGTGTCTCAGTTATCGACAAGAGTTGCAGCCAGCGATCCTGATTCCGACGTTCACTCACGTATTATCTGACGACGCAGCACGACTTCTTGCATTATTGATACGAAGATGGTCCGCGTATACGCAAGAAATTTTCTTCGGCTTAGGCATACACAACACACACACACACACACACACACACACAAACTCTCTCTCTTTCTCTCCGTCTCTGCTTTTCTACTTCTCTTAAAACACGCTCTTCGTGGAAATTTGAGACTCTCCCTGATCACCGCGATAAATTTTACATCTGACGTGCGTGCTGCCAGACACGCTCACTTGGGTCCTTGCATTTTTAAAGTAAATCGCTCGCCACGGCTCCGCTCGCTCGCGCGAGCATCGATTCGTAAACCGATCGTCTTTGTTGCAATTTCGTTTTTCTGCCTCTGCTTATTATCCTTCCTTTTTTCCGCCTGTCTTTACCTACGAGACGGTTGCGACTGCAGTGACATATAATCCGCATGCGGATGCAAATGTTTAATGAACACCCTCAGTCGGTCGTGGAAGGAAAGAGGGGATGAGTTCGTCTCCGATTTGTCTTTTGCCTCTCAGAGACCTCTCAGTTTATGCACGTCGCAAAATCGATCCCGAGTTTATCCTCATCGAGTTTATTCCATACCACCGAGTTTACAGAATCCCTACCGGCTACGGATTCCTCTTTTTGAGAGAGAATCGGATGAAAACCTGTGAACAGCTGTGAAAACGAGAAAGCCACGGGAGACAGGAAGAAAGAGAGAGAAAGAGGGAGAAAGAGAAAAAAAGAAAGAGTTAGCATGGAGCCTATATGCACAACCGGCTGGTCGATAGTGTTACGTATCTTCGGTATTTGGCCGGACGCGCGTTGCGTTCTGTTCCGTAGGTCGTTTTGGATAATATCGCTCGCATTCGTCCAGACTTTTCAATATCGTTACATTGTCGACCACTTCCGTACTATCGATCTCTCCGACCTGCTGGGCAGCTTGAGTGAGGCTATGTTTCACACACTAGTGGCCCTGAAACTCATCATGTTCTGGCTTAATCAGCGGTGAGACACACAATAGAGCACGATTAGGGCTGCGAGCTATTTAAGAACGGATTTATATGTACGGAGGATTATTCGCACGCAAACGATTAGCCGCGAACGATCTTCGATCGATTTCGCGTCAGTTTCTGAAAAACCGAGTTGAAAAGAAGCATGATAGATTAGTTAACGATTTACCGACCGGCATCGTCGGTAGAAAAACTGTTAAAATTTGATAGATAGTGTGCAGAATGAACATGAATTATTATAATTTTATAGTCGTGATTTTTGAAAAGCCTACTGATAAGCTTTCGGGCGATAAAGTGCTAAGCCTCAGTTGATTTTTATATGAAAAACAGATAAGCCTGTAATTGCGACATGTTATACGATTTTATATTATGTAATACGCATTATGTTATGTTGATAAACATACTTCCGCACATATAACGGTTCGCACGATTTTTAAGACGCTTTCGATAGTTTGAAAGAAGGGTTGTAAAGTAAACACTCATCTGTTTCATGCAAGCTATCACGTACAGTAAAAAAATTAAAAATAAATTTTTTTATGAAAAATCAATGTTACCTTGAATTCTTTAAATGACATCATGCAATTTTTTTCATATAATATTGTAGGGAACTTTGAGACGAGTTCAACGCACTATTACAAATATCATTATTTTTTATATTTAATGTCAAATCTATAGCATTATTTTAAATAGAGCAGCACTTATAAGCTCTGACTAGACATGTAAACATAAACACTGGAAGTTTTCTAAGCTTGTAAATACTGCTATCTAAAATAATGTTGCAAATTTAATATTAAATATCAACTGTACGATAGTTATATGTATATATATTATATATATATATATATATATATATATATATATATATATATATATAATATATATATATGTATATATGTTATATATTAAATATCAACTATACGATAGTTATATCAACAAAACGATAGTTTATATGAAATAGATGAGTATTTACCTTACAACCTTTCCTTTAAATTGTCGGAAGCGTTTCAAGAATCTTGCAGATCGTTACGTTACGTACACCCTGTATACGTACGTGGGTCCTCGAGAATCGATGATCCCCTGCATTTGTTATCATAGCCAATTGGAGGAAAAATCGAACGCTGCTTGTAAAACACTTAATAAGATATTGACAATGATAGAAATAGATTGGAAAGGAAGCCTCGATCTCGACGCAACCACCAGGAGCGCATACCTGTCGCATTGATTTTCTAACTCGACGATCAGCTTTCAAACAATATCCGTGGTGATGTACACCATTACGGTTGTCATCTTCGACGTCGTCGACGACGACGAAATCACTGGCGAGATTGAGCGACCGTTCATTGCAAAGATGGATTTGCCGTTTGATACTAGCAAGCGATTCGTATACGAGTTTATCACACAATTTTTTCACATGCTCTTTTGCGCTTTTGTCACCGGCATGCTGAATGCTCTTCTTATAGCTCTGGTTAGTTGCGCTCTTTCCTAGAACGTCACTTTTATTATTGCCATTATAATTCTTCATATTTAATAGTTAATAGCAATTTTACTTTAAATAAGGTAAAAGCAAAAATTCTAATCCTGGGCATTCTTATTGTTTTGATCTTTAAATACGGGAATATTTGAAATGTCAACATAGTATATATGTATATATATGTCAGTGTAACAATATTATCAAAGGTCGATGTTGGGCATCGATAAGTTGTCGAAAAAGGAAGTCTTTAATTAAAACAACTCAATGGATAACGGAAACAATATAACGCTTCTTGCGTTCGACTAACAGTTCGACTAACTCCACTTCAGATTTCTTGCCTTTTATAAGCTCCAACGCCAAAACGTAAACAGCTTCTAAAGGAGAACACCTCCTGGCTGTCACTTTCACAGATGGCTATCAGCAACAGCCAATGTATTATCAATAAATAAAGATCGCTCCTCGAATCTTGCCCTGATACATATAAAAAAAAAAAAATATATATATATATATATATATATATATATATATATATAAAATATATAAAAATATATAAAAATATATAAAAATATATAAATATATAAAAATATATAAAAATATATAAATATATAAAAATATATAAATATATAAAAATATATAAAAATATATAAAAATATATAAAAAAAAATATATATATATATGTGTTTTTTATGTTAAAAAATTAAATGTCCCTATTTAAAGATCGAAACAACAAGAATGTCTAAATTTTTAGATATATGTCTGAGCATTTATATTTTTGCCTTAATACTTAATAATAATTTTTGGCACTTAACATTCTTTAATAGTTTAAAGTTTTAATAAGCGTTGTTTATTAATATTTTAACAGTCGCATTTATCGTGGAGAAATGTTTACTAGCAGTTTTTGAGAGCACAATTAAATTACGTTAAAAGAGAAGAACATCCTCTATGTATATACTATAAACTTGTAAATTTATACACCTTTATGTAGCTTATATAATATTACAATTATTGAATGCCATTATCAACAAATATTTCTTTATAAGATGCTGGCATAATGACAGTGGCTTTTAAAGTGTCAACATTCATTCTATTAAATCGTTAACCGCAGTACTAATAGTTTAATGAGATTGTCTGAGCGCGATTTTAATTGACGCTTATAATATGAATTAGAATTTAAAAGTTAAAAAAAGGATGGTATATCTTTTAATAAATACATGATAGTTAATGCGATCTTGTGTTTCAGATATTACACGTAGGTGATGAAATCGATATTCTACGATGGTTAGCGGAAATTTTTCCGCAAGAAGAGGAGCGTAGCAGCAAGATTGTCGCAATGAAGGATATAATTACAAAACACCAGAAAATTATCGCTCTCTCGCAGAACATTGAATATCTCTACTCGTACGTCGCGATGAAGCTATTTTTAGTGGATGCTATAATTATGTGCTGCTTGGAATTTATACTGGTTGTAGTAAGTTGAGCGAATCTTTCAGAAGAATTAGGGTTAGGAAGAGATCCCTACTATGACTCAGACCTCCTCTTGATGTTTCAATCATTCGGATCGCCTGACGGATAATTATAATGTTTTACTTTAACATGAGCTTAGAGGCATTTACATTCTGTTTCGCCGGAGAATACCTAAGCGCTAAGGTCAGCTTCGGCCAGGCATATCTATGCCATCGCGATACAACGAAACACTTGTTCCTGAACTTCAAGTTAAAATCTATTTTCTTCGACACGTCTTCGTCAAACCATCGGAGAAGCCGCGTACAATTCTCCGTAGTACAAAGCGGATCACAAAGATAATCGGTTCGTCTTGTTCTTGATAATGAGATCACAGAACCAATTGACCCTCTCGATCGGAAGAATGATGGATTTGTCCTTAGAGCGGTTTACCGGTGTAAGATTACTGCTTTTATCTCACGTCTCTGCAATTTACTGATTTTCAAGCTTCCAATTTACTGATTTTTACCTTTTTAGAGTACGAATGTACAATTTTTTTCTTTTGCTTTACGGTTAAGTAATTTCCGTCAGTGTTGGGCATCAATTAAAATCGATTAAACATTTCTCCGACTAAAATAATCGGCAAATGAATAATCGAAATTAATCGTTCGTCATATACATAAAATATATAATTTACACACATAAATACCACAAATTTCGACGATTGGTGAAATTAATTATTAACTAAACTTTGATATAACTTTGTACACTGATTAATAATTAATTTCACTAATCGACTAAATTATTCATGATTACATATATAACGATTGATTAATTTTGATTATTGATTTGCCAATTATTTTAGTTGAAAAAGATTTGAATCGATTAATATCAAACATACTGGTTCTCGTAATTACACGTATTACTCGACATCATTATATTTTTCGAGTCTTTTTCGAGTAATTATTTTATATTATTATTATTATTATTGCAAGTTATGAAGCATTCAGTCGATGATAATAGCTCATCATATATACCAACTTTTACATTAAAATATCACATGTATTAACCAGATAACATTGTTGCAGTTTATGAAAGCTTCAGGCTCTTATATATCGGTCCTTCTTGCGATGTACTGAAGCAAAACTATCATCGTGTTTCTAACTCCTTACTCAGCATGAGTCGACTGTAGAAGATACATACGTGAATTAAAATTGACAAAAATCGCGCCGCAGTATACCACTCGCCAATTCCTCTCACATGCGTGCGTTGCGCATTCACAAGCGTGTTTCGCCGAGAGGCATAAACTGAGCACTGTCAAAAGGAAATTCGAGAAATCGAGATACGCAGGAATTGTTAAATGGACTCGAATAAAGTGTATCCGCGATTTCCCCTGCCGCTTACGTTCTCGTCTCTCCGCCTCGAAACCTCTGCGCATCGACTTTCGTTTCATTCCTCCGCGGTATTTTCCGTTTCGAACGCTTCAGTTTTCCTGGACACGGACACGGACAATTTTGCATTTTAACTGCACATTTTGCAACTGTATCGTGGAGAAGGATTAAAAGCGGAGCGAGGAGGTGATGTCTCGTCCAGCTATAATTTTTCTCTCCCTTTCCATCTCTTTCACCATTCACACTTAAAGTCTTAAATCTTCACAGCGATAAACATATTTTAAATCTGATGACAAAAATGGAAGTACTTGGCGATTAATTAAATTGGAATAACCACTCACGTGATGTGCTTGGTGAAGCTTCAATTGCTTCAATTCTCAATTAGACATCTTGAATAATACATTTCAAGCAAACGAATTATATTACTCTTGTCGACACTCTGTATGTATCAACTTCAATATTGACTTCATCTCTCTTACGGTAATGCGCAGTCTATTCTGTACGTCTATTATTTCCAATTCTTACTAGAGGAACTTTCTAAGGATCGATTTTTCCAACCTCTTGGTAAGTTAACTAATAGTTCACTCATATGTCTGTCCTTGTTCTTCATTCAAATTAGACAAAAATAGACATGATTTAACTGTTAATTAGCTTACTAAGAAGTTGGGACAATCGATTCTAAAGCTGAGTCTTCATGTCTCGAGTGTCTAACCATGCCACATTCTACGTGATCTTTTCGCGCGCGTTATTTTGATCCGTGTCGTTAATTATCGCTCATATAAACTGATAAGGTAACCCGACGATTCCGCGGGTCCGACAAACGTTCTCGTCGTTTTACGACAATTATGATTCTAATGAAACAACATAGTGACACTTCGTCAATTGCGCGAGGAGGTAACGACGCGAGAAACGACTTTCGCAACTTCGTGTTCCCCTGGTCGACATTTATCTCGCCCGACATTTTCCGCTCGTGGCCTACGTTCTCAGCTTTTCTCGGATCACAGCGCGCCATTTTGATCCAGGTCTTCTCTGCCCGAATATTACCCGCGATGTTACATGATTTCTTGAATTGTTAACGCGAAACAACGCGCGCCTTTCCACAAAACACATCCTCTCTGATAGGTGTTTCCCATTCGCGAAACACGCTTTCCACGAGAACTCGAGGCTTTCTTTACGGTCATCGCACTGAATTTAACATCCGATTTACGTTCACGTGTTGCGTCCAAAGCGTTCGCCACGTATTCCTGAATTTTTCAAGCAAATCGTCGCGCCGTCTGCGCGATCATCGATTCGGAAACAAATCGCCTTTGTCGTAATTTTCCTTTTCCCCGCTCTCTTTTTTTTCTTTCTTCTGTCCGAAGCGAGCACCGAGGTACCATGGCGGTTGAGACACGCGCGCATATGCAAATATTTGATGAGCACAACCTATTGATCATCAAAAAAAGGAAGATGGACGTTTATCTACCATCGAGACTGCCTCAATTCGTACACGAATTCTGTGCTATGCGTCGCGATCAATCAGAGTTTATTCCATGTGACAGCTCCGAGTTATATCTTGCCGCCATCGACGCGTCTCCCTCAAAAGAAAGATAATAACGACGCAGTGCATGGCTATAAAAAGCGAAAAGTGCAGAAGCACGGAATCTGCAAGCGCGCTTGGCCGATCCGCGGAGATTCTGCTCATACTTTTGGAATCCGGCCAGCTGGAATCGCCGTGCGTTTTTTTATTCTTTTTTTTTGTTTTGTCAATTGTTCCGGGATGGTTTCATTCGCGACCACCCGGGTTTTTCGATTGCGATACGTTATCGAGCACCAGCACTCGATCGATCTTCCTGAATTAATGAACGACTCGGGTGTAGAGCCCGGCACACTCATTAAGGCCGCTCAAACTCGTCATTTGCTGATTCAATCATCGGCGAGACACGCCACAGTACGCGATACGAGTAGCGCAACAAAAAGCCCGATGATATTTTCATAGAGTGGCGCTCCCAACGAACTTCGCGCGCGCACATATACACACACATGCACATGTACCAATTTTATTTTTCCTCTGATATTTCATTACACCGCGAATACTTCAGTGCGCATGACGAGTTTTCATATTCACACATACACACACAACCCACGTCGTTGCACGATACTCTGTATTATTAAGGCAAGCAAGAGGCGATTGCGCTACGTGAAAAAAAATCCTCCGACCGGCCGTTGCCTTTTCTTCTCCCTTCTAAATGATTTTCCGCGAAGAGTCGAAGGATAATTGCTCGCGATCGCTGGAGACAATTGGACATATGGTGCCACGTCTACGCATGCTTGACTCCTTGAATCTTTCAACAGAATTGTTCATCGCGCTGCGTCGCCCGTCAATTCATCGAGACGATCATTTCTTTCCCATGACATTTCTCCTTCTCCTTTGTTTTTTTTTTTAAGAACGAAGAGAAATATTGAGAAAACGCAGCGAGCGTATAACCGAGTTGCGTAATGTCGCGTAAAGCGAATATTTGATGAGCGATTACTAGGATCGGAGGGGGAAGGTGCTCGTGCAGCCCATCTGCCGCTGAGACCCTTCAGTTCATGGAAAGACACTTCGTCGTGCACATCGTCTGGCAATCAATACGACCGCGTACAATAGCGTTTGATACGTAATTGTCACATCACCAAGGTCCCCTTTCACGCAAAAGCGGACGACGCAGATATGGAAAAATTCAAAAGCGTGCAATCGGGAAGAATAATCAGTCGGCCGATCGAGATACTACTTCGTATGTTCGGCATCTGGCCGAATGTACCGTACGGTCCATTCTGCAAAGTGTTTTGGATCAGCCTAATAATAATCAATTCGATTCTCCAACTCCTGTTTATTGTCTATCACGGGAGCGACGTCAACTCCAACGTTTTCATATATCTGATCGCTGTTAATCTGACGATGAACATGAAGATTATTAAAATATCTGTTATCTGGTACAATCAGCGGTGAGACATATACGATGTAATGTTTATTGTACGTCTAAGATCGTAACGAAATTGAATGCACTTTCGTAAGCGTGTGGTTATCATTATGTATAAGTGTTCATTGGAAATCCGGTAGCGATATAATCACGCGGAACAATATGGCTGACCTACGTATAAATCTGATTATGCCAATCGGATTCAACAATAAAATACGGATCAACTAATCGCATGGTTATCGCAACCAGAGAGTAATTGCTGAATTACAGTGACGATAACTGGTTGTTCCCTAACCAGAGTGTATTAGGACCTTAACTTAGTTTCCGCCCAAAAAATACTGAGAAAAAGCATTTATTGTAAAAAATTTATTTAAATTATTTCAATGAAAGTATTTTCCATCACTTTCTACAACTTTTTGCCATCTTTCTGGCAACTGGGCGATACCATCTCGATAAAACGATGTTTGTTTCGAAGCAATCCATTCGTCCACCCATTCTCGCACTTCTTCAACATTTCGGAAGCGTGTACCACTCAA